TCTGGCGGACTTGGTTCTATGGAAGGTCTTAAAGGGTTAACCCAGTGCTTGTCAAAGTGTGTGGCAAGTTACCTGGCAGAAAAGTCATGCGGAACTAATGTTTAACATCGGAATCACTTTTACGATAAAACAAAGAAATTTGCTGCAGTTACGTTAATAATATGCACATCCGCTGCAGCTGCGTGTGTAAGTCGACAGCTGCAATAAAGAAGTGTACTGAAAAGTGTGAACATGTGGTCGGGTCTGTTGTGCATCATTTACAGTGGTGCTGAAACCCAGGATTGTGGCTGTCGATTTACACACGCGGCTGCAGTTTTTTGGCTACAGCCTACACACATCATCAACAACAACAGGACCTAGTTCATTCTGTTTTAAGCCGGCGAGGCGTGATTGGGGATGCAGCTCATGTGCATCTGCCTCCCTCACAGCCGCGCTGCAGATCACGCCCCGCCACAGCTCTGCAGTCATAAACTGGCCCCCTCAGCCACTAAGATTGAATAGTATTAAACTCTCACAAAATTATATATTTTTCACCTCCGTTCACGAGTTTCTGGATTTCTTTTCTTAATTTTTTTATAGGACTAAGACTGAACTTTATTTTTCCATGTTTGGCAATGTTCACATTCTGTTTAACTTGTTACTTTTTTGAACAAGTGGTGCAAACTATTGACGCAGTCTAGTGACAAAAGTCACAAATAGTTGTTTGAAATGAAAGTTGTTTAATTAAAACAAAAATTACTGAAGGATTTTTTTTTTGTTTGTTTGTTTTTGCCTGTTAAGAAATAGAGAGATATTTTTTAATGCGTATCTGCTCGTTAGATTGTTTTATGTATAAAAGACGGCCAGCTTTGAGACAAGGTCACAGGCTGACAGGAAACTGCAGGTTTTTGCCGAACTATGAGCAACAGACAGTGAAACTAAGTTCAGACAGGTTATGTTGTCTATATAAAAGTGTGCTGTGTCTTTGCAGGAGGAAGAGGAAGAGCCGATGGAGGAAGATGAGGCTGTTCAAGAGGAAACAGCAGAGCGGGAGAATCCAAACTAATCCAGATAGAGAGGACACAAACACACCTTAATGGCTGCGCTGCCACTCTGCTTTTGTTGTTCAGACTAAAGCACATGTAACTTTCTACTAGTTTCCCAAAGTTTGTAGACAAACAGCTTTTAGCTTCTACTTTAGGTTAGCAACCAGAGGTGTATTTTGACAAATGGTATTCAAATGTTGCTATCTTTACTTTCAAGGGCAGAATTTGTAATTTTTATGGATGAGGGTGAAACCGACAGGTTTCAGACAGCCTTATGAAGCACATGAAATCATCCAGCACAGAAACATATATTACTGAGCTCCTTCTACAGCAGTGTCTGACTCTTTACTCTGCTTTCATACACTTATGATCATCACGTCATTTCCACACAAAGTATGCTCAGTGTCCTGTTTACAAGATGACACTTTTTCGTCAGAGCCCATAGAGCACCCCCTATTCCCCGCTGACCATGCTTACACACTTAAACCAGTCAGAGGTCAGCAGTAATACCTCCAACAACTTTCAATGTGTGTTTAACTGGAGCATTTTATTTTTGTATCTTATTCATACCACCTTATTTCCTACTTCTTATGAACTTATGTAACTAAACAAGTGAGAAAATAAAGTTTTAGGATTTGTTTTTGTTTTTTTACTTTTATTTTCAGCAGTACAAAACTTACTATGCTACATTTTGCCTTTGGATCTTAATGAATATCTTGTTTAGGAAATATATCTACTTAAGCATTTTATTTATATACTTTGTAAAGTAGAATTAGTTTGGAACTCTTTTACTTCTTTTTCATAGCCAGATGGTTGTTTGACCTGCTTGTTGGCTGTAATCATAACTAAATGTCCATGCTCTCACTCACTTTGCAATTGAAATTTAACATCAATTGAGGCCAAAGAGCATGGCCCTAAGAGGTCAAGTGCACTACAACTTGAGAAATTCAATTAAGTTTTATTTATTTAGCGCCAAATCACAACAACAGTCGCCTCAAGGTGCTTTATATTGTAAGGTAGAGACTACAATAATGCATACAGAGAAAAACCCAACAATCATATGAC